AACATCACTCAGTATTCGGGAAATGCAAATCAAAACCACACTGAGATACCATTTCACCCCAGTTTGGATGGCTAATATCCAAAAGACTGTGAATGATAAATGTTGGCGAGGTTGTGGAGAAAAAGGAACTCTCATATATTGTTGGTGGGACTGCAAAATGGTGCAGCCTCTATGGAAAATGGTACGGCGGTTCCTCATTCCTCAAACAATTGCAGATAGATCTACCATATTACCCAGCTGTCCCGCTGCTGGGAATATACCCAGAGGAATGGAAATCATCAAGTTGAAGCTATACCTGTTCCACAATGTTCACTGCAGCACTCTTTACAATAGCTAAGAGTTGGAACCAGCCCAAATGTCCATCATTGGATGAGTGGATACGGAAAATGTGGTATACCTACACATGAAATACTACTCTGCTATAAAAAAAAGAATGAAATTCTGCCATTTGCAACAACATGGATGGACCTAGAGAGAATTATTTAAGTGAAACAAGTTAGGCACGGAAAGAGAAATATCACATGTTCTCACTTATTTGTGGGAGCTAAAAATAAATAAATAAACACACAAATAAAGTTGGGGGGGGAGGGAAGAAGACACAACAATTACAATTCCTTGAAGTTGATACTACAAATGAACAGATAGGAAGTTGTTGGGAGGGAGTGCAGAGAGGGAGAAAGGAGGGAGTTTCCGGTAATGGGCCACAATAATCAACCACATTGTATTTTGACAAAATAAAATAAAATTAAAAGAAAAAAAAAGTGGAAAGCAAGATGAAACAAATGAGCCTAAATGTGTCTCAAGTTGGTAGCTTAACCATATGAGAGATGTTATTTTAGGTGACATTAAAAAGGCAGTAATTTCGGGGCCGGCCCGGTGGCGCACTGCTACAATGCGCCGCTTGGGAAGCGTGGTGGCGCTCCCGCTGAGGGTTCGGATCCCACATACAGACTGGTTCCCGCTCACTGGCTGAGCGAGGTGTGGGAGCAACACCGAAGGTTGCGGTCCCGTTGCCGGTCCCGGTCCGGTATGGGTGTGACACTGAGGGTTGCGATCCGTTGCCGGACACGAAAAAAGACAAAAAAAAAAGGAAAAAAAAAAAGGCAGTAATTTGATTATACATCCCTCATGTGTTATATCCTATTAGACTTCAAGAGGTCTTCAGTTTTTCTCTACTCTATGGTTAGTAAAAATATTGGTAATATTACTTTGAAACTCTTTGTCTCTCTCAATCCCAAAGAAGTCAGAAAAGAGGGACACAGGAATAAAGAACAGATGGAACAAATATAAAACAAAAGGCATGATGATGAATTTGAACCAAACCATATCAATAATAACACTAAAAATAAATGGTCTAAGTATTCCAATTAAAAGATAGAGATTGCCAAATTGGACAAAAATACAAGACCCAACTATATGCTACCTACAGGGAATGCACTTGAAATATTAAAACACAAAATAAAAGTAAAAGGATAAAAAAGTAAAACTTTAAAAGTAAAAGGATAAAAAAGATATACCATGCTAACACTAATGAAAAGAAAGCTGGAGTGGCTACATTAAATACCAGTCAAAGTAGATATTCAGAGCAAAAAATTTTACCAGGGATAAAGAAGACCATTTCTTGATGATGAAGGGGTCAATTGACCATTAGGACATAAAATCTAAAACATTTATGTACTTAATAATAGAGCTTCAAAATACACAAAGCAGAGACTGATAGAAACTATAAGGAGAAAGAGAAAATCCAACAAATAGACAGAAAATCAGTAGAAGTACAGAAAATTTAAACAACACTATCAGCCTACCTGTCAAAGCTGACATTCATAGAACATTCCATCCAACAACAGAATACAATCTTTTCAAGTGCACATGGAACATTTACTAAGATGCACCAAATTCTGGGTCATAAAAAAAGTCTTGAGATCTCCCTTACTCTTCATTTTTGGTCCTATTTGCTAAGAAGATCTATTGAAAAGGTCATAATACTGCAGTTCATAAGAAAGGAACACAAGTAAGTAATTGAGAAAATGCCTCCTCTTGAAATGGATGTAGCTCTGGAAATACAAGATATAGAAAGGTTTAGGAATCATATAACAAGGGAATTTAACAAACTATCCACAGTGTTACAGAAGGGATGGGCAGAGAGCTTGAAACATATCATGGAGTTGAGAGAGTTAATAGAAGATCCAAGCTGGATTGTCCACAAAATCAAATTACTGAAGTAAATGCAAAACAAGAAAAAGTCTCACAGAATGCAGAGAAAAAGGGAAAAGAAATCAAGATAAGAAAAGAGGAGAAAAAGGGAGTCCTAGAAGGCCGATCCAGGAGATACAATCTATGCATGATAGGAATACCTAAAACAGAGGACTGAGCAAATAGAGCTGACACAGTAATTAAGGAGCTAATTGAAGAAAATTTTCCAAAGTTGAACACACTAGATCTACAAATGGAAAAAGTGCACAGTGTACCTTTAAAATTCAACAAAAAGAAAGCAACACCTAGATATATTCTGGTGTTGACATTTTTAAATTTCAAGGATAAAGAAAAAATTCTACAAGTTTCCAGACAGAGAACGCAAGTTACGTATAAAGGGGCAAAACTCAGGCTGTCCTCAGATTTTTCTCTTGTAACTCTAAATGCCAGAAGACAATGAAACAATATCTACAGAGTTTTAAGGGAAAATAATTTTGAGCCAAGAATTATACCCTGCCAAGTTATCATTTCTGTACAAGGGCAACTGGAAGACATTCTCAAACGTGCAGAGGTTAAGAGAGTATGTAAACCAAGAACCTTCCCTGAAAAGTTTGCTGAATGATTTACTGCAACAAGGAGAACATGAACTGAAGTAACTCAAGAGTAGGGAGGCAACTGTATGAAAGAATTAATGTTGTTTTTCAGTTAGCCTGGAATTGCAAACTTGCCATGAGAGACAAATTATCCAGATTCCAGGAAACCAAAGAAGAGATCAATAAAACTATACTTTCCACCCTGAAGCTCATCAAAATCCAGCATGACCCTAAGATAACATTAAGAATGGGAACAGAAACCAGATGGAGCCTTGGTGAGACCTTGCATCTGGCTCCTTGCTCAGAGCCCTCATAGCTCACATCCCCCTCCCTCCTTTTCACTTCCCACATTCCATTCCCTCAACCCCTTCTTTAAAAACTGTCAGTAGTACGGGCGCGACACTGAGGGTTGCGATCTGTTGCCGATCACGAAAAAAGACAAAAAAAAGGAAAAAAAAAAAAAAAAACTGTCAGTAAATCTGAGTTTCTGAGATGTTTTAGTCTGGCCATTCCTTTTTAGGTTTACTGGAGAGATGGATTTGCCTCAGGTCACTGGTATTCCTGAGTAAAAGCTGACTTCCTATTCCACCAATAATTTGACTTTCAGGTTGTTTGTTTTTTGTTTGGGGCAGGCAACTGGAGTTGGGTTTGGTAGCAGATTTTGGTGAGCCTAAACCAAGAGCTGAATGTCCTTGGGTAACAGATTTTGGCAAGCCAAGCCAAACCAGGGCTTTTGTTTGGGGCAGGCAGCCAGACTTAGGTTCAGTAACAATGTAAGTAAACTTGATATTGAGATAAGTGTTGCAGACAAAAATAAAACATACACATTCCAATATTTTGGATTGGAAAGGAAGCAGTAAAAATCCAAGATTATACAGCAAAAGAAAATCAGCCTTATAATACCAAGGTCCTGGGTTCAGATCCCCATACTGGCCAGCCACCAGCGGAAAAAAAAAAAAAAAGGAAAAACAGCAAGGAAACATTAAAATTAGCATAAAATAAATTGACAGAGGTACAGATGAATTATCATACCCATAAACTGGCTAAGTATTCTCACTACAAAGATTCATATTGGGTCAAAAATCAGTTTCTACCTTGTAATTCATTTGCGTAAAACAAAGAAAAGGGCTTAAGCATACTAGGGTACTTCAAAAAGTTAATGGAAAAACAGAATTGAAAGATAATATGAATCTAATGGAAATTAAGTCAGAAGTAGAACAACATTTTTATTAGACAGAATCCAAGAATATCAAGATAGTTTATATTTACAAAACATACAATGATAGGATGTAACATTTAAGAGACGTGATAAATAACATGGCATTCATAAGTAAAATAAATGTTTTATGTTGGTGTGGTGGTAGTTTTATTGATGTTAAATCAATATACACATACTTTGAGAACATTGTACATTTAAAATTAGTGTGTTTTATGTACTTAAAATTCATTAAGAAATCCATCAATTAAAGAAAATACATATAGCAACAACAACAACAACAAAAGTCTTAATAAACTTAAGAGAATTCTGGCCAGTGAGTTCAGTCGGTTAGAGCACAGTGCTGATAACGCCAAGGTCCAAGGTTTGATCTCTGTGCTGGCCAGCCAACAAATCAAACACACGAAAATTTTTTACAGGATTCAAGTCATATAAAGTGTATTGTCTGAACACAATAGGACAAAATTAGAAATCAGTTGCAAAAGATCTTTGGCAAAACATTTGAAAACAAAATAACACATATCAAAATAACCCATGAGTCAAAGAAGAAATCAAAAGGCAAATTAGAAAGGATTTTGAACTGAAGGCAGAATAAGTAACACAAGATTAGCAAGTAATAACTTTTGAGCTGGGCATGTGATGTTTTATCTACTTTTGCGTATGTTTGAAAATTTCAAGAACGCTAAAACCAAACAAAAAAAGTTAAAAAGAAAAAAAAGAAAAAGAAAAAAAGCCCAGAATGCTGCTGTGCCAGAAATAACACAATAGAACTCTCCTTTTTTAAACCAAGAATCTCAAATCCATTCTTCCTAAATTTAACACTATAAGAAGCCTCAATCACAAGTAACTGCAGTTTCCTTGCTCCCAGTCTACTAAAAATTGTCTTGCCCTTCATCATTTGAGAAGGCCTTACATAGAAAATTTCAAAAAGAAAACAAAGATTCCTATGTCCTGAAAAAACAAAGTCATTTCAGGAAATAGAGGAAACATCTACTCACCTTGGACTTTGCTTTTGAATGTGCAACAGCCATTCTTCCCTCCTTGGGTCTCCACTCTCAGAAAAAAAAATTGAATGAGACGCTGGGCCTTTCTTGGAGTATATTCTAAATTAGAACATACCGTTCCTCTACCCTCATAATCTAGTCCTCATTTAAATAAAGGAAAGTCAGAAGGAGACTAGAACAGTCCTATACCTTCTGTATCAGAAGGAAGAGCGAAGGTCACTGCTATCTTGGACTAGAATTTATTTCTAGATTCAAAACTGTCTGCTGGACACTGAGCCCTACAGTAGCGTGCTACAGGTTCTGAAGTGTGTGGGGGGCTCCAATACTACTCCTTCTGGAATTATTCCCACTCCAGGAGCCCCAGTATATTTCAAGTGGCCTGTGTTGTATCTGCTGTAAGTCCTAAAATTCTCATCTCAAGACCAGGTTTATGGCTTGGAACTAAAACCTTAACTTCAACCAGGGGCTCAAATGTCTGACTTCTTTCTTGCCCCTTCTTTGCATCCAGTCACCTGAAGGCCATAGGTAACAGGGCACTAGAAAGCCACAGCAAACCTACAATTCCAAGGTGAACTGAGGATGAACAGAAATGAAGCAACACCGGCCAAGTGGGACGGGTAGCCACTGTGGTCAAAACAGAAAGAAGTCAAGTCCTTAAATTCTCAGAGGAGCACAAAGCCACAAGGGATTCATGATCCAAAGACTCCGCCCAAGAATGAACCCCAGAAATACCAAAATTAATTTTTAACTCCATACCCCACTAAACTCCCATAAGATCACACAGAATAAAATAAAAAATGATTTTACGAAGTGACACACAATCACATTTCACAATCACACAGCCAGAGGCACAATCACCAAGTTATGCTACACTGTTAGACCACCTAGTCTTAAACAAAATCCACTCATACACAGGCATACACACAACCACAACCAAACACCTGGCCAGGGACACATACAGCCGAAAACACCCTGTGATTCACAGCGGCACTTTCGCTCTTTTCACAGTCATGAAAACGGCACACACAATCCCACAGTCACACACATGGGACACACACAATTAAACAACCAAGTACCAGTCCACGGAAACACGCAGTCACAAACTCCATGCCACAGCAACACCGTCATACACCTGAAATTCACAGGCAAACCCCGGTCACACACGATATCAGGCACATACAAACTCTAATGTGTCACGAGCACATCCAAACACCGTGTCACGACAGCACTGTCGCACACTTCACAGTCACAAGCAAACCCCAGCTGTACACGCGGTACACACAAAACCACACTAACGTAAGCATATCACGAGTCAGGGAAGCACACGGTCAGCGTCACAAACTCACACTCACACAAACGTTCACACACAAAACCACAGTACGAACGCCCAGCCGTCCTTACAGTCACCAATACCAGGCTGGCTGTAGCAGGCACACAACCGCAGACGCCTCCGCACACGTAATTCCGGCGACGCTTTCCCGCACATTTCCGCCCTGACGCTCCAAACCACTTACTCAAAGAGTCGCAGTCCAGGGTCCAGGACCTGGCGCTCGCGTCCCAAGCCCGGTTTCGGGTTCGCCCGCCCGGCGGGTGCCGAGAAGCTCCCCACAGGAGCGGCCGTCCCCACGCGAGGCTCCCAAATCTCGCGAACGCCGGAAACAAGCCGCGCTCTTGACGCGGTGGCTCTGGGAAATGTAGTCCAGAGCCAAGAAGGCCGGGACTGGCGGGCCACGGCGCTAGGAGGCCGCTCCGCTCTTCCTCTGCGGGCTTCCCGGACCTGGCGGCTGGAACCGGCCTGTCCCAACCGCCGCGCCCAGAGATTCTGCGTGCGCCCGCGGGCGCCCAGTGCGCAGGCGTCGGGCGCTCAGGTTGGGCGTCGAGGCCTGGGAGCGCGAGCGCCGGGTCGCGTCTCACTGTGGGGGGTGGAGGGAATGGGGGGGACCCCCGCGGGGCAGGGGCGGGGAGGGAGCGGGAGCTGGGGCGGGGACTGCCGACACCAGGATTTGCACGGGACCCTTTGTGTGCCATGCCAGGCCCTGGGGTGAGTGTGTATGTGAGAGTGTGCGAGACAACGCGAGCTGCCGTGGAGCGGGCGTCTCCCAGTGGCCGGACGTCTGGCTGTAGTTGTGCCTGTGTGTGGTTCTTCGTGCTGTTGGTGGGTGTGAGGTGATTTGTACTCGAAGCTGTGTGGGATGGTCTGGTAGAGCCAGAGAACTGTGCTGTCGTGGTTTGCTTGTGAAAGGTCTGTGTACTTCTGGTTTTCTGGCCATAGTTGAGTAACTGATGATGATTCTTGTTATATAAATATGCTTCTCTTATGCTTGTATTTTAGAGTGTCTGTAGGACTTCGACTAGTAGACGAGCCCGTGTGCGATTGTGTGAGACAGTGAAAGAAACGATGGTCAAGTTATTTCTTCCCTGAAGACTAATTGGATGGTCTGGAAAAGGTAATCAATTTATCTGACGAGTAATTTAGACATGATTTTTCTGTTGGATTAATTATATGTTCTATGAGAAAAGACTGCAAAAACCAATATAGCTTCTTCTTTTTTTTAAAGAAAGGTCATTTCTAAACCAGTCCTAAGTGCATTTTCTTCTGTCACTGTAGCCCAGAAGTAGACATCTAATATTTTCTATTATTACATGCACATTACTGGGTAAGCTTGACGGGCTGTCGACTAATAAAATGATAAAATTATTTTATATATAAGAAGAGTGAATTTTAGCAGCGTCAAGCACTTGTCACCATTTTCTGATGAGAAATTCTTGGTTCATGGAGAGAAAAGAACTTAAGGCTATACAGTTTGTTGGTAAGATTGAACTTGTCTTCACTTACTTCAATTCATTGTGGCCGTTTTTGTTTGTTTAAAACAGTCACAAACTTGCGAACTTCCAGCACAGAGAAGATAGAATTGTAATTTCACTACTCCTTCAGAGGGAAGAAAATTTAATAAACCTTGCTCTGACTTTCAGGACCATATACCAAATGTATCATCTCTTCCCAGTAATGTGACTGGAGTAGCAAGCTTGGTGACTGAGACTGCTAAATGAATGAACCTGAGTGCACGATCAGGAATAGCTATATGAAATAGAGATAGTCAAGTGGCACTGACTTAGAGTGGGTGAAAGTGGGATCAAGAATTATGTCAGTTTGTAAGGGAGATTTACAATAAATTTATTTATTTATTTTTTTAGAGTGACTGACACATTTTGGTTTCAAATCGGACAACATGCATTGATGTCAAGCCACATCTGTGTGATTCTGGTTTATCTGTCTTGGCTTTTGAATAGTTATGATGAATGCTTGCAAGCAAAAGGAAGCAATTGTTTAAAAGTGAAGAACAGGAATTGTTAACCTGAGATGAATAGACTCCATGTGGAGGGGCTTCTTATCATATATTAAACTTGTGACATTTTGTGTTGACAAAATGTGATTTTTTTTAAGAGAAAGTATAGGCAGTTTATCAGATTCACAGAGAGATATTTTAACCCAAAAAGTTAAGATCACTGGAAATACGAACTGCAGAACTGAGGATTTGTTTTAGCATACCACGTGATAAAATTAATATAAAATAGTATGTATTCTGTAGAGGGATACACACCAAACTCCTGTCAATGGTAACCTTTAGGGCAAGAAGAGAGGACTTAGGGTAAGGAGGGTGTATTAGTCCGTTTCTGTTCCTTATACTGGAATACCTGAAACTGGGTAATTTATAAAGAAATAAAATTTATTTCTTACAGTTTTGGAGGCTGGCAAGCCCAAAGTCCAGGGAACACATCTGGTGAGAGCCTTTGTTTTGCTGATGACGCTCCACAGCAACCCCAGGTGTCAGATGGTGAGAATGGGCTGAGCAAGAGTGCTAATCTGCTCACTAGCTCTCCTTACGAANGGAGGGAATGGGGGGGACCCCCGCGGGGCAGGGGCGGGGAGGGAGCGGGAGCTGGGGCGGGGACTGCCGACACCAGGATTTGCACGGGACCCTTTGTGTGCCATGCCAGGCCCTGGGGTGAGTGTGTATGTGAGAGTGTGCGAGACAACGCGAGCTGCCGTGGAGCGGGCGTCTCCCAGTGGCCGGACGTCTGGCTGTAGTTGTGCCTGTGTGTGGTTCTTCGTGCTGTTGGTGGGTGTGAGGTGATTTGTACTCGAAGCTGTGTGGGATGGTCTGGTAGAGCCAGAGAACTGTGCTGTCGTGGTTTGCTTGTGAAAGGTCTGTGTACTTCTGGTTTTCTGGCCATAGTTGAGTAACTGATGATGATTCTTGTTATATAAATATGCTTCTCTTATGCTTGTATTTTAGAGTGTCTGTAGGACTTCGACTAGTAGACGAGCCCGTGTGCGATTGTGTGAGACAGTGAAAGAAACGATGGTCAAGTTATTTCTTCCCTGAAGACTAATTGGATGGTCTGGAAAAGGTAATCAATTTATCTGACGAGTAATTTAGACATGATTTTTCTGTTGGATTAATTATATGTTCTATGAGAAAAGACTGCAAAAATCAATTTAGCTTTATTTATTTATTTATTTATTTTTAAGAAAGGTCATTTCTAAACCAGTCCAGGGTAAATGTATTTTCTTCTGTCACAGTGTTATCGACAGGCCAGGCTCCGCTTGCCCTCTGACATTAAACAAATGACCTGAAGGTCCAAAAGTTGATGCAAGGATTGGAAGGTTTATTCAGATTACCGGTACTCAGCTAACCAAGCAAACAAACAAAGAGAAAAGAGGAGCAGTTGGGCCCAGTTTAGCCTAGTCCCAATCGGCAGGGCCAACCTGTTCCATTAACAGTAATTGATAAAAGCATTCTCCCCACTGTTTTCAGCATAAAGAAGAAAAGTATCAACTAGGTTTAAATCAGAAAAACAAAGCATAGCCAGGAGCCCTCCAGGGTGGATACAATCCAACCAAACAGCAGAAGAGGGCTCAGAAAAATCAGAGAAAGGTAAAGAGAATAAAGCATTGCCTTGTCAGAATTTAGGTCAGGGACTCCGGGAGAGATCTACCAACAGCAGAGACATGGGAGCAAAATAGTCCTAGTGGCCACTTGCTTCTTGCAGCTAGAGTCTTCTCTGGTGTCCAAAGTTTTCCAATTTTTGAGTGGTTAAATTAGGCTCTCAGATTCCAAAGTCATAGAAATGAACAATGTACCCAACAGTAAAGCAAGCAATGCTTTATTAAAAGAGGAGATAGACTTATGCATAAGGGGGGTAGCAACAGTAAAGCTAGCCCCCTGAGGGAAGCTGTTCAGGGTCTTTTATAGGGAAAGGAGTTAAGGGGTGGTAGGCCAGCACTGGAGGTGGTCCATTCTGTTCTTCCTGGTTGCATCATGGGCACATGCTCAGTAGGTCCAAAATGGCAGTGGTATTCATCATTGTCACCCCAGGAGGGTCATTGTAGCAGTCACTTTGATGCTCTGTGCACAGGTGGGAATTCCTAAAGGGGTCTTAAGACTAATCAGTAACTTTTTCAATTATGGTAAACAAGCCTTGGGGAGGGGTTTTGCAATATCTGTTTTCCTCTCTTACCTCAGTCTGTTTTGTCAGGGCAGCCCGTGGGGTAATCATTTGCCCTGAGGGGTCTCATGACTGAGGAGTGGAAAAGTAACAAAGTGTCCTCTGCAGGGAAAATGGAGTCAATGTGGTTCACAGGCCTAGCCTTACTGTGCTACAGAAGTAGACATCCATTAATTTCTATTATTACAGGGACATTACTGGGTAACGTTGAGAAGCTGTCTACTAATAAAATGATAAAATTATTTTATATATAAGAAGAGTGAATTTTAGCAGAGTACAGCATTAGTCAGATTTCTTGAATTCTAGGTCAAACACTTGGCCCCATTTTCTCATGAGAAAATATTGGTTCACGGAGAGAAAGGAACTTAAGGCTATAGAGTTTGTTGGTAAGATTGAACTGATCTTCACTTACTTCAGTTCATTGTGGCCATTTTTGTTTGTTTGTTTTAAATAATCACAAACTTGCGAACTTCCAGCACAGAGAAGATGGAATTGTAATTTCACTACTCCTTCAGAAGGAAAAAAATTTAATAAACCTTGCTCTGATTTTCAGGACCATATACCAAATGTTTGATCTCTTCCCAGTACTGTGACTGGAGTAGCAAGCTTGGTGACTGAGACTGTTAAGTGAATGAACCTGAGTGCACGATCAGGAACAGCTATATGAAATAGAGATAGTCAAGTGGCACTGACTTAGAGTGGGTGAAAGTGGATCAAGAATTATGTCAGAGTATGTAAGGGAGATGTAGATTTTTTTTTTTAGAAGTGACAAACACATTTTGTTTTCATTTTTTTAAAAATTTATTTTATTTATTGAATCAAAATCGATTATACATATTTTGGGGGTTGAACATTGAGATATGTTGATTAAATCAATATCACTAGCATATATATTGTTACAAATTGTAATTATTCTTTATGCTCCTTGTCCAATCTCTCCCCTTCCCCCATTCCCTCCTCCTCCCCCCTCTAATTGCCCTAGATTTCTTCTCTCCTTCTGAAAGAATAATGGTTACTCTGTTAATTTGTTGCCTAGATGATCTGTCCAATGCTGAGATGTGATCGGGTCCCCCAATATTATCGTAGAGCAGATGCTTCTTCTGTCACTCTGAAATGGGTTTTGTGGAAAGAGACATTCTCTTCTTTTCTTTGTTTCTGCTGGTGACTCTCCTGTGTCAATGCACTCCAGTGGTTGGCGGACCATCTGCATGGTGGTTGTGGCACCTAGCTGCTTTTGTGGCTGCCGTGGTCAGCAGCCATGGTTATTGTGGCTGTGGTGGGACAAACATGTGGAGGTGCTGTTTTTGGTATGCTCCTTGGCACTGGCGGTATGCCTGGTTGTGGGATGTGTTTGGTTCCTGTCTCCATGCCTCTGTTCCCTGGGCAGGTCCCAAGGTGCTGGCGCCATGTGCCTAGTTGTGGGAGAGGGGTCCAGTCCCCTTCTCCATGTCCCAGGTCCCTGGGCGGGCCCCAAGGTGCTGGTGCAGTGTCCCTGGTTGAGGGAGGGCAGTCTGGTCCCCTTCTCCAAGCCCCGGGTATCTGGGCAAGCCCCAAGGTGCTGGCGCCATGTGCCTGGTTGTGGGAAGAGGGTCCGGTCTCCTTCTCCAAGCCTCGGGTACCCAGGTGGGCCCCGAGGTGCTGGCATTTTGTGCCTGGTGTGGGAGAAGGGTCTAGTCCCTGAATCCATACCTCAGGTCACTGGGTGGGACCTGAGGCACTGGTGTGGTGTGCCTGGTTGTTGGAGAGAGGTCTGGTCCCCTTCTCCATGCCCTGGGTCCCTGGGTCCCTGGGTGGGCTCTGAGGCACTAGCTTGATGTGCCTGGTTATGGGAGAGAGGTCTGGTCCCCTTCTCCATGCCCTGGGTCCCTGGGTGGGTTCCGAGGTGCTGGCATGTTGTACCTGGTTGTGGGAGAGATGTCCAGTCCCCTTCTCCATGCCCTGGTTCCCTGCGTGGGCTCCGAGATGCTGGCATGTTGTGCCTGATTGTGGGAGGGTGGTTCGGTCCCCGACTTCATACCCCGGGTCCCTCGGTGGGCCACAAGGCGCTTGCTCAGTGTGCCTGGTTATGGGAGGGTGGTCTTGTCCCCTTCTCCATGCCCTGGGTCCCTGGGTGGGGCCCAAGGTGCTGGCGTGGTGTGCCTGGTTGTGGGATGTGGGAGAGAGGTCCGGTCCCCTTCTCCATGCCCTGGGTACCTGGGTGGGGCCCAAGGTGCTGGCGTGGTTTGCCTGGTTGTGGGAGAGAGGTCCATTCCCCTTCTCCAGACCTCGGGTCCCTCGGCAGGCCCCAAGGTACTGGTGTGGTGTGCCTGGTTGTGGGAGTGGGGTCCAGTCCCCTTCTGCATCCTCAGGTCCCTGGGCGGGCCCTGAAGCACTGGCATGGTGTGCCTGGTTGTGGGAGAGAGGACCATTCCCTTTCTCCTTGCCCCGGGTCCCTGGGTGGGCTCCAGGTTGCTGGCATGTTGTGCGGGGTTGTGGGAGAGAGTTCTGGTTCCCGACTCCATACCCTGGGTCCCTGGGTGGGCCCCAAGGTGCTGGCTCAGTGTGCATGTTGTGGGAGAGAGGTCTGGTCCCCTTCTCCATGCCCTGGGTCCCTGGGTGGGCCCCAAGGTGCTGGCGTGGTGTGCCTGGTTCTGGGAGAGAGGTCTGTTCCCCTTCTCCATGCCTCTTGTCCCTGGGCAGGCCCTGAAGCCCTGGCACGGTGTGCCTGGTTGTGGGAGAGAGGACCATTCCCCTTCTTGCCCCACCTCCCTGGGTGGGCTCTGAGGTGCTGGCATGTTGTGCCTGGTTGTGGGAGAGAGATCTGGTCCCCTTCTCCCTGCCTCGGGTCCCTGGGCAGGCCCCAAGGTGCTGGCACAGTGTGCCTGGTTGTGGGAGCAGGGTCCAGTCCCCTTCTCCATGCTTCAGGTCCCTAGGCTGGCCCTGAGGCACTGGTGCAGTTTGCTTGGAAGTGGGAGTGGGGTCCGGTCCCCAGATCCAAGCCTCCAAGTTCCCAGGCAGGCCCCGAGGTGCTGGTGGTATGCCTAGGCCGGAACTAATTTTTTGTCCTTTGCTTCTAACATGGGGGAACTTCCTGTGGGCACCAGTACTTGAGCTGTGTGGTTGTTTAAATTGCTGCTTTGCTGCTGTTTCCCTAGGGAAGGCTTTTTGTGCAGCTCAGGGTTTAATGGCTGATCTTACAGGTACTGCTGGCTCTCCAGAGACCCGGTGGATCTCTGTTCTGTAGAATCTCTGATCCGAGCCTGAGTTTTCATCAAACTGCACCCCATGCAATTTTGCATTCCTGACCAGTCTCCTCTGAGTGATCCAGTGCTGATTGGGGGGCAGATCAGCTGTTCTTGCTGTGTCCCAGTGTTCTTCTGGTGGGCCTGTCTCCCCCACTGCCCTTGCTCCTAACACTTCCCATGGGATCGGCCCTCTGCCGGTCCCTTGCAATGACTCACCAGCCTCTGAGCAGCTCCCTTTTTTCAGCTTTTCTAGCTCCTCCTATGTGGGTCCACATGAACCCTATTAGTGGTCTTGCTGTCCTGGGGGCCGCCAAGGCCCCCTTCTCTCCTGCCGCCTCCAAGTAACTCCATCTGAAGGGCACAGCTGCAGCTTCTGCCAGCTCCTGCTCCTTGTGCTCAGCAGCTCCAGCCTTAAAGCAGCCACGGCGTGAAATACTCAGAGCAGCTTTTTCTTTCTCTCATCGTACTTTCTCTTGCCTTCAAGAACTCTATAGGTCTCTCCTCCTCTTCCCCTGAGCTCCAGTTGCCCCAGCTTGGCTGATGTTACATTTTTATAGTTGTAAATTGGTTGATTTCTGGAAGAGAATGATGCTGTGGACCATCTATTCTGCCATCTTGATTTTGTGTCCCACATTTTGTTTTCAAATTGGACAACATGCATTGATGTCAAGCCACATCTGTGTGATTCTGGTTTATCTGTCTTGGCTTTTGAATAGTTATGACGAATGCTTGCAAGCAAAAGGAAGCAATTGTTTAAAAGTGAAGAACAGGAATTGTTAACCTGAGATGAATAGACTCCATGTGGAGGGGCTTCTTATCATATATTAAATTTGTGACATTTTGTGTGTTGACAAAATGTGATTTTTTTAAGAGAAAGTATAGGCAGTTTATCAGATTCACAGAGAGATACTTTAACCCAAAAAGTTAAGATCACTGGAAATACGAACTGCAGAACTGAGGATTTGTTTTAGCAGTGGGTGTCTTTGGCACCTCTATTGAAAGTTAAATGAACGTTATATTAGTTTACTCTTGCTAATATAACAAATTACTACAAACGTAGTGACTAAAATAACGCAAATTTATTATCTTACAGTTTTGTAGGTCAGAAGTCCAGTACAGGCATCACTAGAGGAAAACCAAAGTGTCTGCAGTGCTGCATTATTTTCTGGAGGCTCTAGGGAGAATCCATTTCCTGCTCATTTGGGTAATAAACAGAGTTCAGTTTTGTTCATCTGGAAGAGTGGAATCTCCATTTTTCTGCTGGCTATGAGGGCAATTCCCAATTTTAGAGGCTGCTGCATTCCTTGGTTCATGGCCCCCTTCCTCCATCTTTAAAGCCAGCAAGACAGTCAAGTCCTTCTCACAAAGCATCTGTCTGACTCAGCTCTGTAGAGGGATACACACCAAACTCCTGTCAATGGTAACCTTTAGGGCAAGAAGAGAGGACTTAGGGTAAGGAGGGTGTATTAGTCCGTTTCTGTTCCTTATACTGGAATACCTGAAACTGGG